GATCTCAGACATGCACCTTCCCTCCGCACCATTTGTGGCAAGCTGTGCGGCAGGTATGCACACAATTTGTAAGATTCCCAAACCTGACAAACAAGGAGAATCTCATGTTGGTTTGCCCAAGGTACATGGCTGCAGGAACATGGTACGTGTGGGAAAGCCCACGCCACATCATAATTCTGCCACTTCCTGGTAAGCAGTTCCTGTGTTCTTCCTTGCATATGGGGATGGCCAGTGTGCACAGAGCAGCACATGAATGTGAAAGAGAGATAACGAAGAAGTCTTTGCTCAGTCTTGCCTTGCAAAGAAATGAAGGTTGGAGCCCTGAGGTAACTAGGGACAACCTTCTGAGAAGCTACACCTCCTTCAATAGTTCTCAAGAGCAAAAGTCCTGTCAATCTAAAGAATCACGGGGCAAATTATGGTGTGGCACCACTCCAGATGTTGTTGGACAACAACTTCCATCACCTCTGACCATTGGCCAGCCTGGCTGGGTTTGATGGTAGTTGTATCCTAACAACAGATGGGCGGTCACTGGTTATCTCCCCCTGCTTTGCAGCCTGGCTCTTCACACATTTACTCAAAAGAACCAGTGTGTTGTAATGGTTATGGGAGACCTGGATTCAAGTCCCTGCTCAGTCATGAAGCTCACTTGACCCTCTCGGCCTAACCTACCTCACAGGGTTGTTGTGGGGATTCAGCAATAAGGGATGGAATCATGTATGCCACCTTGAGATGCTTGTTGAAAAGGATAGAATAGAAATGCAATAAAGAAATAGATAAGTCCCACTGACTTCAGTCTGGTCTAGCACCACATAAAACTGCTTAATTGCGCTCATTAAGCAGTTAAAAGTTTGCTGCCCCGTTTAGCAAAGGCTCAGCAATGTATAGCATGTTTGTTCCCGCAGGACGGAGGATAGGCTGGGGCAGTTTCTGTGTTTTAACAGTGCTTTTTTTATAGCTCCAGAGGACTGCCTGAGCAGCTGCAGTCATGTTTGTGCTACTTCTTAAGATATTCAGGTGATGGATTGGAAGGAACTGAGGTGGATGGGGGGGTTTATGCATTGAAATTAATAATAAATAAAGTAGCGCACTGACTAGCAGAGCAAGGAAATTGTCAGAGCGCGCACACACACCACGGATATGCTGAGCGTGCTGTTCTCTGGCGGACTGGGTACATTGGAGGCTGCCATGCTGATCAAGCATATTTCTGAAACCAAGGCAGCTGTTGACCAGCCCGAGGTCACGCTGCAGCTCATGGTGGGAAGTGCTGGCAGCACTGGACACAAAAATTGGGGCATGGGTGGGCATTGACGGGGCAAGCACATTTGGAGGGGATGGGGAAATCAGCTTTGTCCCACCTGAACATTCCCATTGATTTAGATTTAGTTGACTTTCAAGTCAATGTGCTTAAGATTGCAGCCATTTTTAAAGCTCCAGTTTAAAGCTCTAGGGCACCCAGGTTTGAATTCCTGCTAAGGAACTAAGCTTACTGGGTGACCATGGGAAAGGCAGTATCTTTCAGACTAAACTAGTGAGGATACAATAAGAGAACTGTGTATAAGCCACCACGGGCTCCTTGGAGAAAAGTCAGGGAACAAATATGTAGAAAAATGGTCTCCACATTACTCAATTTTTGTGTCACTTCCAATTCAGTTAGCTCATTAACAAAGATATTCTCTGGATACTTCCAGGGTTCCTGTATTAACTTGGGTCCAGCTATTCAAAAGCTCCTGAGCAGCACATCTCTCCCCCCCCTTCCTTACTGCATTACCTCATTTCTTTCTATATCTGACCCAGATTGCTTCCTGCAGTTGAAGAATCAGGTTGCCTTTGATTGACCTGGAAACAATCATGAGTTAGCAGCTTTGCTTCTTCCTTCAGCCCCCCTAAAAACACCCTGAATCTTAATCTGTTGTGCATTTTCATCCAAATCTTTCCAGCCTTTCTTTCACACACACTACAATAGCTCTGCGCAGTTCTGCTAAATTCAGCGTGCCAAATTTGCACACCCTGGAGATTTGACCTCATACTTTCCAGCCAAGGCAGAGCCCATTGGGACTTATATTGATGGAGTGTGCAGCAGGTGTAGTTATTTTGTGTAGCTGTCACAGATATCTAGCTGGACATCAAACTAGTGGAGTCCAATTACTGAAGCTTTGCAGCCGGTCTGTTAGAGTCTCCACGCCAAAGCAGTGTTCTAAACACACATTGGACGCGGGTGGCGCTGTGGGTAAAAAGCCTCAGCGCCTAAGGCTTGCCGATCGAAAGGTCGGCGGTTCGAATCCCCACGGCGGGGTGCGCTCCCGTTGTTCGGTCCCCCGGGTGCAAGTAGATAAATAGGGACCGCTTAATAGCGGGAAGGTAAACGGCATTTCCGTGTGCTGCGCTGGTGCTGGCTCGCCACAGCAGCTTTGTCACGCTGGCCACGTGACCCGGAAGTGTCTCCGGACAGCGCTGGCCCCCGGCCTCTTGAGTGAGATGGGCGCACAACCCTAGAGTCTGGCAAGACTGGCCCGTACGGGCAGGGGTACCTTTACCTTTACCTTTAAACACACATACTTGATGGCACCAATATATGTTGGGCTTATTTGAAAGTCTAAATGTTAAGATTTGTATATGTGCTGTAAGCTGCCCAGAGTGGCTGGAGAAACTCAGCCAGATGGGTGGGATATAAATAATAAAATAATTATTAATTATAAGGTTTGACACATATAAGCAGATTCATCAGAGGACTAGTTTCCCTCTAAATTAATTGCCTTATTGTGTATTGGCATCTTAGTATTTTCTAGTTACCAGAGGGTTTGTGATCTAGATGGTATTTAAAATATGGGTCTTATGGCCTAGAGAACATCAGCATGTTCGGGATTGGTTTGAAGTATCTGCATCCAAAGCAAGGACAGGGAACCTCAGATGTGGCCCTACAGTTGTTGTTGGACTCGATAACACCCATCAGGCCCAGCTGGTGAGGGACCAATGGTCAGGGACGATGGGAGTTATAATCCAACATCTGCAGGGTCACAAGTTCCCCATCCCTGATCTAAAATAACAACAAGAACAACAACTTATACGTCAGCTGAAAGACTAACAGATTGGTTTTAGCTTAGGTAAAGGTAAAGGGACCCCTGACCATTAGGTCCAATTGTGACCGACTCTGGGGTTGCGGTGCTCATCTCGCTTTATTGGCCGAGGGAGCTGGCGTACAGCTTCCGGGTCATGTGGCCAGCATGAATAAGCCGCTTCTGGAGAACCAGAGAAACGCCGTTTACCTTCCTGCCAGAGCAGTACCTATTTATCTACTTGCACTTGACATGCTTTCAAACTGCTAGGTTGGCAGGAGCAGGGACCCAGCAATGGGAGCTCACCCCGTCGTTTCATGAACTGCAATCCAATTCCTCAGATGCACCTGATTTGGTTTTCTTTGCAAACCAAAGAATTCATCCTGATCCCATATATGGCAGGAAACTGGTGCCAGTGCCAAAACCATATTGACCAACAATACAATGTATGTACCGTTCTCCACACACACTGGCACTTGCATAGTCACCTTTGACTGGACTTAACCATCCAGGGGTCCTTTACCTTTTCCCACATACCTCTGCTTTGGCATTAAAGGAAGAGGTATGACCATTGTGATACTAACTGCAATACTAACAGCCATTTCCCTTAGATTCCACACAATAAAAACGCTGCAGAAAATGTGGTTGTTTCATCAAGTTGGGAGCAAAACCATCAGCATGTAACTCAGATGAAGCCATGGGGCAGCAATCAGAAAAGCTCTAGAACAACCAAGTTACAAAGCACCACTGAATGGGTTATGGGCATGAAGTTAAAGGGGAAGAATGCAAAGATTTATTCTTGAGGGGTAGGGCGAGAGTTGTAATAAGAAAGCGTATTCTTGGTGCAGACAGTGATCACCTCAACCCTCATATGTGTGTATATGTGTAGTGCGCGCGCACACACAACACACACACAAGGCCTGCCCCCCCCCATTGCTCTGCCTCACTCCCAACACCCAGGCACATTCTTCGATCATCGCTTACAGGAAGCCTGCATAGAAAATGATTTCTGTTGTTTGTTGTGTTGTTGTGTTGTTGTTGTTGTTTGTGTTGTTTAGTCGTTAGTCGTGTCTGACTCTTCGTGACCCCATGCGCCAGAGCATGCCAGGCATCCTGCTCCACGCCTCCCACAGTTTGGTCAAACTCATGCTGGTAGCTCGAGAATACTGTCCAGCCATCTCGTCCCTCTGTCGTCCCCTTCTCCTTGGGCCCTCCATCTTTCCCAACATCAGGGCTTTTCCAGGGAGTCTTCTCTTCTCATGAGCTGGCCAAAGTATTTGAGCCTCAGCTCAGGATGTGTCCTTCCAGTGACCACTCAGGGCTGATTTTCCTTAAGAATGGATAGGTGTTGATCTTCTTGCAGTCCATGGATTCTCAGAGTCTTCCTCCAGCACCATAATCAAAAGCATTTCTGTAGATTATAGCAAATCTCCCTTCCTCAAACTGCAAGTCTTCTCTGCTGCAGTGGCTAGCGTTTATGGAAACAGGCCAGCACTTGCCCTGCTCCTCCGACCCACATATTAATTATGGCAAGCCAGGTTCAGCCTCCTCAATCCAACCAACACTATGGAAACTGCCCTGGCATGCAGCAGCTGCAGAGGAACTTCCTTGTTTTGGGAAGGGCCAATACAGTGCACTGTAGAGTCCCCCACATCTGGCTTATGCCTCTCTCGCATTTTTCACCTAACCAGAATCACAGAAAAAGGCATTCCCCCCCCCAACTAAGACCTTTTCCTGAATGCAGCAGCGACACCATTTTAGAACATACACGACACTGTAAAACCAAGGTTATTACTTCTATGGAAAGCATGCCTTCGATGGAGTGATTAGGTTGGTTTTGTTTCCACAAGTAATTTTTTTTAATTGCACATATCTGCTTTTGTTTGCTTGCTTGGGAGCTGAAGCTGACTTTATTTTTATTTATAAAATTATGCTTACTTACAGGCCATTCAAATTGTGATCCAGGCACTGAGACCAGCCTGCTGGTGAGTACCCACTCTTCTTACGCTAGAATCTCATTCTGAGTATTCGTGGTTCCATGGCTGCACTATCACAATAAATAGGAGGATGTGTCTGTGAGGAAGGCACACTGACATGTCTGTGCTGTTTTACTGAACCTGTGGAGGAACCATATAAAAGAGGCATTTTCCTCTGCCCCCAGCATAAGTATCTCATTATGAAAGTGCATACTCATTAAAATATCATCCATAATTGAAAGCATATTTTTCCTTAAACCTCCAGGCAGCACCCTTACCATATTCCCAAACTTCTTGGATTTAATTAAAAAGAAATCTTACCTCCTTTAAAACTTGTTTGAGCTAGGTTATGTTGAGATCAATTTCTCATCTCATCAGTTTCTCATGGAGTTTTTAGGTACCATACATAGAAGTTTTATCAGGCTGGCTCTTCAGGAGAGTTTGTTGGAGAGCAGCAGGAAATGAGTGGACCTCAGGACTAGGAGTGGGGAAGAATGAGGTAAAGTGTAGAAGAACATCAGTATATCCCACTTGGTGAAAAAGTGATGTTTGTATTTTGAAGGCCTATTTAAACAATACAGCTTTCGGAAGACCCCTAAAAGGAGGCAAGGGTGGTTAAAGCACATTTAAGACACAATTCAGTGCACTCGGCTTCCCCCAAAGAATCATGGGAATTGTAATTCATGATCACAGAGCTACAAACCCCACTAGCTTGTTCTGAGAGACCAACACTGTAGCTTACAAATGCCCAGGCATGAACAGACTATATTAATATACTAATATATTTCTTCGCCAGGTTGTTACATAGACTGGTATAATATGTGATTTAGCTTCCACCATTTCCCTATGCAGGTAATTACACTGGATCAAGAATAGGGGAACTGTGACCCTCCAGATGTTGTTGGGCTGCAAATTCCCAACACCCTGTCCATTGCCCAACCACATCTAGAGGGCCACAAGTTCACCATTTCTGCCCTAAACAATGCTTTTTTTACTACACGCACACACAAATCTAGTCATCTGCCTTTCCTCTTCATTTGTATTGTCATCCTGCTGAGTATTTGCAGACAGCTGTTTTTTCCCAAAGGGACGCGGGTGGTGCTGTGGTCTAAACCACAGAGCCTAGGGCTTGCTGATCGGAACGTCGGCAGTTCGAATCCCCGTGATGGGGTGAGCTCCCATTGTTCAGTCCCAGCTCCTGCCCACCTAGCAGTTCGAAAGCATGTCAAGTGCAAGTAGATAAACAGGTACCATTTACTAACATTGTACCGGATAACATATCACGGCTTTCCTTGTAACTAATTATCTGAAGCAAAGGTAGATCCAGACCCCAAAACTCCTCTCTGAAGTGTTTCCTTCATCCTAGACAACAGCTCAGCTCAGCTCAGCTCTTTAACTCTTGCTTTGTTATGGTAACGTCGCAAAACTGGGATATGAAGCCAGGCTGCCTATCATTGTTGGAGCAGGAAGAGCAGCCTCGGCCAATGCTTTTGGAGAAAAAGGGAGGCTCAAGCTCCAATCACACTTATATGGGAGCAAGCCCATTTGAATGCAGTGGGGTTTGCTTCTGTGTAACGATTTATGGGCTCCAACAGCACATGAAAGCTTTTTTTGCTGGGAGGAGCGGCTGCTGGATTCTATAAAAGAGGCAATAGCTGTGAAACCTACTGATTTATAGACATGAAGAAGAAAGGAAAGCAAACCCTTTCTGAGAGTGGGGTTGGAAAATATTTTTATGCCATATGTGGCTGCAGATGGGGGACTAATAATAATAATAATAATAATAATTTATTTCTACCCCCGCCCCACTCTGGGTGGCTTCCAACAGAAGATCAAAAATACATTAAAACATCAGTCATAAAAAACTTCCCTAAAGAGGGCTTGTTTTGTTTAGGCTTTAGCCAGTTTTGTTTAGGCTTTAAAGGTGATCCCAAGTACTTCCTTGAACAAGGTTCAGAGGCAAATAAGAAGCCAAGGCAGTATTCCCAAGTATTCTGTTTAGGTGGGCTGGGGAGATCCTATGCATCAGTTGTAGCTTCCAAGATTGTCCTCGGGGGTACATATACTAATTCAAATGTCAGATTAAAGTTACATGTCAGTGGGAATATCTGAATCAGGGTAGCATGTGATTTAGAAGCTGAAGCTGTGGTTGGAATCAAAAGGAACACATATGGTTAGGGATGTGATAGGGTTAGGGTTGCAATTGACACAGCTGCTCAGTCACAGAAAGGGAAGCTGAGTCCCTCCATTTCCTGATTGCCTGCCCCGTTTTCCTTTGATCTTGAGGCCCTCTATGTACAACAGAGACTCTTTCTGCAACAACCCATATAACTTCAAATCACCAGATTGGGATCCAGGATCTAGGTTTGGGCTAGAGGCCATGATCACCCCAAGGAGACAGGGCACTAAGAGTAAAGTGGGGGAGGGGATGTGGTTATCATACACCACCCTGCAGAGCCACAGGCAAGACAACGGGTGGAAGTACTAAGAATTACATAGGAATATAAGATGATCCTACTGGATCAGACCAGTGGTCTATCTGGTCCAGAATCCTGTTCTCACAGTGACTAACCAGATGACTGTGGGAAGCCTGGAATCTGGTGCAGGTTGACGGAGTGGAATATGATTCCACCTAGAGTTAGCAAACTCTCTGCTTTTAGCTCCAAAGACTTCCACATCACCAGCATCTCAGGATCCAACTCCCATATGTTAATAGCAGCATACTCTGTCAGACATGCAAAGCAGCCTCTAGGGTTTGTAGAGCTGACTATACCAGTTGGTGCTAGATCTTGCCATACTAAAACAATCACCACCATTAACCTCCCCACCCACCCGCCCAATAAGCAGCTTTGTTTGTTTTCTCTTTGTTTTCATTTGCATCTTGCCATCACAAAGTCTGGTGTGCCATTTGGCTTCCTGAAAATCCCAGCTTTTGGGTAGGCAGTGATGTGATAAAATATGGTAGGCAGATGATCTTTTCCTACAGAGACGAACCATAAATGATGACAAAGAAGACAGAACACATTCCCAGAGTGAGCATTTAGTTATATTTATTGGCTCATCCATTTAAGGCCAAGCAAAAGCAGGGAGGCTTGAATTCTGTCTCAGAAAAAGGCACTCAGTCATCTGCAACAGTCTTACTCTAATTTCCCATGTAAATGCCATCACAGTAGCACACGGAGCAGGGCAAGGCATCATTAATTTCAGAAACTCTCTTGCTTGAAGAGTCAAGGCAATACTGAACATGAGAAAACAAAGCTCCGAATTAAGGTCTTCCATATTAACAGGCTCCCAAACACCAAGACTGAAAAACCCAATAAAAGACATTTTATTTATAAATATTATTATTTATTGAAAGCATTTTTTTTTTTTTACCCTGCTCTTCATGTAAAAAAGGCTATCGGAGAAGCTAACAAAAATCTAATCTAAAGAAACACAACACTCAAGGAAAGGGGACTGGGAGAGAGGAGGAAAAATATTGCTATGGATTTTGTGGGTACCCTGACTCCCCCATGTTGTGGGTGCCCTGTCCCCCTCTAGATTCCTGGGTGCTAGCGTTTGATCAGTGCTTTGAGAATGTAGATGAGCTGACAGACGTTTGATTCAATAGTGTAAAAATGCCTGCCAACCTTTTTCTGCATCAGGGTATCACCAGGAAATATGCTATCAAGGGGAACAAAGGCTGATGATGGCCAGTCATCAACTCAGTGGGGAAGTCATGACGATGACAGGCCTAAGCCTGTGTGAGACATGGAGGGGTGGGGCTCCTCCTCCTGCTGTGTGTGTTAGTGGGCAGGGAAAGAAAAGGTTGAGGGTTTCAGCTTGGATGATGTAGACTGAAGGGAAATTGTGGCATTTTGCGAAAGGTTTGAAAAGTGGGGGAGAATTGGGGGCAACAGAACTCTTGGCCGCCTGGCTAGAGCAGGGTATAACAAAGGGACAGGCAGCATGACTGGTTCCTCTGTTTGTAGACCTAAGCCTGCTGGCTCGTAAGAAAGGAGCAAAGATAATAATGAGTTGTGAATGCTCTGAACTCTCTCTCTCACCATATAGACACAGGTTGTCAATATGTGTAAATAAACCACGTAGCATAAAGACACTACAGTCTCCGTTGTGCCTAATTTCCAAAGGAAGCCCCAGTTAAGTGCCAAGACCCCTGGAATCTCGCACCAATCCTGGAGATTGGGGTGACCCCTAACAGTATTATAATGGTTGGCTTTGTTACCCAGATGGCTAGAATTATACATACTATGTACTGCACCTGTTCTCCTTATTTGCTGGCTTGCTCTTCTTTTCTTTCTTCCATTTTGCTGTGCCTCTCCTCCTGTTGCTTTGTTTTCACGAGTTCAAGTTTAATCTGATTCTTTTCACTTCCCTCAGGGCAAGATGGTTCCTCAGAAGCCCCTTGGGTGGTGGTTAGGGGAAGGAGGTGCTGCCACTGGGAGCTGGTGATCATACAATTCAACTATTGCTTCAGTTTGCATGTGGGCAAAACCAATAGTTCTGGATAGGGTTATGGGGAACAAATTTCAATTCGGTTCACCTACCACATTTGCACTTCCCAAAACAAAATGAAATGCAGCCATCAATCAAAAGTCACCCTACTGAGAATTTTCACAAAATGAAATGCAACCATCAATCAGAATTCATGCTACTCCAAATTTTGCAATGCAGCTCTCTTACCAAAGAGAATATTCATAAGTGTGGGGTGAGTATTGTGTGGCAGCTGTAATGGTGCTAGTTCTGCTGGTTGAAGTGGTCTGGTGGGCCAATAAACTGGTCCCAAACCATTAAGGGCTTCATACACCAATAGTAACACCTTGAACTTGATCCTGGCATGGGATCCATGGTGCCAAGCAGGAATGGCAGGATCTGTCAGAGGAGGAGCCCGAGGTAAGGGGTGGAGTTAGCTCAGTCAGGGATGTGGATGAGGACCCCACCCATGGATATCAGATGTCTCAGAAATGGAGGGGGAGCTAATTGAGTCGGTCCCCACCTTGCCTCCTGAG